AAAAACTGATGATGGTGGAAAAATACACCGAAACGTATTTTAATTGATAAATAAAGATAATAAATGACTGAAACCCAGGAATTAATTTTGATTTGGAACTTAAAAAATCATAGTTTTACTACTGGGGCAAGATGCGACTCAAAATTTCTACAGGGTGGTCACAATATGTTCAGCTCTTTTCTGACTGACTTGCGCGCCAACACCACGTTTGCCTCATTTGTGAGGACAAAGCAAAGTTGTGTGAATAGGTGCAAAGTTGTGTGAATAGGTGCAAAACCGTGCAAAGAGTCTGTCTATTTAAAAAAATCATAGTTTTACTACTGGAGCAAGACCCGACTCTAAATTTCTACAGTGTGTTTACAAAAGGTACAGCTCTTGTCTGACAAGCATATGCGCCAATACAGAGTTTGTCTAATTTCTGAGAATAAAGCAAACTTGAATCTGAAAAGGTGCAAAACAGATCATGAAACGCTCCACTTAAAAAATTCTTGCTTTTACTGTTCAGACAAGACGTGACTCCAAATTTCTACAAAGTCTTCACAAAACCAGCAGTTCTTTTCTGACAAAGTTTGAGTGATTTTTGAGAGCAAAGCAAACTTAAGTATGAAAAGTTGCAACACCGCGCCAAGAAACTGTCCACTTCAAAAATTCATAGTTTTACTATTGGGGAAAGTTAACAAAACATCCAACTCCATTCAGGCAAATTAAGATTCCTTTGTCAGCTTGGACTGATTTTGCAGGCGAAAAATCGCACAAAACAATGAAACTAATGCAGAAGTGATTTTTGCAGGGGTGTGACCGGAAACATCCCCCACACCTCGTCTAGGTCGGCAAACGAACCAGTGATATTTGTGTATAAGTGATAAGAAACTGAACTTCCTTCGTGGTTTATCATGGCCTTAACACGCTCAGTTTAATGTTAAAATGATGTTGAAGCCTCTTGTGCCGTAGAAATCGTAACAAAGACATCTTGAAGTGCATCCCTCTAGGGCCAATCTGTCTCTTCTTAATTGAGGTGGTGCCGATTTTCATTCAACTTGTTGCCACGCTTTTGAGCCAATTTTTTTTCCTTCGGCGCGATTTCTAGCAATAGTAGCGCTGCAAGCATTAACAAGAGACAGATTCAAAATCGCGCACGTCTAATGGCCTATTCTATGACTAGTTCAATTCATTAGAGTTCCTGGGTGATTTTCTATGAATTTTCTTATAATTTTTTTGCGTCTTTTTGTTCACATTTTTTTGTGAAAAAAATTAAATTCATAATAAATTTAAATAGTCGTTACATTTTCGTGTATTAATAAAGTTAAATATATAAGTTAAAAAAATAAATTTTTAAGTTAACTCGTCAGCCATCCCTATTTTAATTTCAACTTACACTTGAAGTTATCAGAGAAAAATGTGAACAAAAGGACACAAAAAAATTTATAAAAAAATTCATAGAAAATCATCCAGAAACCCTACATGAACTTATGCTTGTGCAAAGTACTGGAAAATGACGACAGATCCGAAAAAATTGAAAGAGGTAAATAAATTCTTAAATTGGACAGAAAATTAAAAATTTTGTTCGGTCAAAACGAACGAAAAACGAACACCCTGTAGATTTTCACAACCAATTGGCTTACCTACGAGTATAGAGTCTAAACATTAGCCTACGTTAAAAATTTGAGCAAAATATTTCATAAACGAGGAACACGAAGAGGAATAAAAGGAGTTAAAGAGAAAATACCAACATTTTTTGAAACATTAACACCCTGAATCTCGATAATAATGGACCTGAGAAAAAAAACTTAAATAGAAACTCGATTTCTTTTGAGTGCGAACATGCCCCTGCTCTTTGTCCAGGAGGTTGTGAATCACCCAGTATATTTAAAAGTGTTTTCGATTCGACCCGAGCCGAAGCCGAGCCGAGTCTGAGCCGCGGCAAAATTCCTTTGAAGTTTCGTCAAAACACCGACAAACAAGCGATATTCTAATGGTGTTTCGACAAAATATGAACGGAATTTGCCACGGTGCAGGCTCGGCTCGGGCTCGGCATGAGACTTCAATGCCGTGCGAACGCATTCTTAAACCGTACTGGCTTGAACAGTACCTGTTCGTACGGTGTGGTTCATATTCTAAACAAAACACTGCCAACCCGTTAATTCCTGCGAACAGGCACAGTGATTCATACAAGTGGGCGATTTTACCAAACACTCCTCGGCCAAGTCAGTCTTGTTCCTTTCCACTTTATGATTGCAGGAAAACGGTCAAGCAGCAGTCAAGCTTTTTCAATTTTCGCCATTTTTTCGCCATCAAAAAATTTCCATCCGTTCTTTTGAATCGGTCCTGGTAGATTGAGAGCGTGCGCTAAGAACAGCCTGGTTTCCGCGGCAACCGGTCTGCTATTCTCTGTCTTGACTGAAGCTGGACCACGTCACATTGATTACGAGGTGAGACGCAAATGTTGGTGCTCCTTCCACACAATTGAGAAGATTTTACTGTTCATATGGGAATATATTTTCCCAGTTTCACAGTTTCAGGTTTCATTCCACACAATGTTCGAGAAGTGTTCCGTCCGATCGCCCACTAAACTTTCTTTCCCACTTTGAGATCGGCGGCTTTCAATGTTGAAGTGCTGTCCTTAAAACTTCCAGCCAGTTGTTTTCACATTGTAGGGCGGCAGTTGAACGTTGAAAAGCCAACTGAATATAAATTTTACAGTTATATAAATAATTAGGATAAACTGAAGAGAAAAACGATTAGGATAAGTCACAAAATGATTTGTACCACAACGGTCTTTTCCCAACACTTTTACCTGGTATTTGCTTAAAGGAAATGGTCGATTCATGGGTGTTATTCGTGTGCATGAGTTCCCTATGAACCGATTTTGTTTAATTGAGCATGTCAATTATTGTAAGCAATTGAGGTGGTTGGTTGCGAATCGTGAATGGACCATTTCCACCCTTACTACCCAGAAACAAGAAGATGATTCTAAATGTACATACTGTTAAATAGTTTAAGGAGATACATAACTAATGTAAGGGCTAAGGTTTTTTTATATTATCATTTTTTGTAAAAAACTGTGAAAATTCGACATGTGTATTGTTTATGTAGTTTTTAGGAACGTTATTTTAATACTGTAGATACTAATTGAATTATATTCGAAAGACTATCTGAGATATCGTTTGGGTTCCTCTCCAGTTCTTTGGATTTTCGACTTTGGTTTTTTTGGGGGGCATTTCAGATCAATCCTATAACCGACTGATGTTAGAAGCGATTCGTGTTTGTTGTACGATTGATCTGTCATCCTTTTCGCGAAAATGTTAATGATTAATTATCTCTTTTTTAAATGAAAATAAATAATATGGAAGTGGATAAAATAATTCGAACGCGACCGAGTTTATTAATTACTTAGTTAGATTTAGTAACGAAAACCTACGTTAACGGAATTCATAACTTTAAAACCTGCGAAACATGTAAAGTTTCTTGAATGCAATAAAGTTCTATCTCTATGAAGGTTTTTTACTTTTATTCCCACCGTTCCCATCATCAAAATGTTTCGAGCAGCAGCTTTCAAATTTCAAAGCAAATTTTCCAAACTTGTTCTCCAGTTCATTGTCCATAATTAGTCCAAATTGCACGCCTTTAGCTCGTTTGGATTAAGAACTGTGAATTTTTGCATCTAAGTTGAGGATTTCCAGGTCGGTTAAACTTGAGCCAAAATTTCCAAAATTATCAATTTTTTTTGCAGATATAACAAAATAAAATTTAGCCACTTTCTTCAGTGGTTCGCTGTCAATCGCGATAATTGGGTCAAATTCCAAGCTATTAACTCAACAGATTTAGGAAATTTCAATATATTTCCCAAAAGTGAAGGACTTTCAAGTTCAGCGAAAGATAATCCAAATTAAAAATTTTTAATGCTGAATTATTTGTACAAAAATAGCCAAACATCTTCACCCAAATTGGAAGTCTTTAGCTTGCTTCGTTTAGGCAATCTGGATTTTTTCATGAGACTGGAGAATTTTGCCATGGGCGAGTTCAACTCAAATTTATGAAGTGAAGCCAAATTCAAAATTTTGTAAAAACTCGCCCTTAGGGTTTATGGATTTCATACTTTGGCGGCTTCTTCACCATGTCAGGGTCCATAACTAGACGGAGTTTCAAGACTTCAGCTCATCTAGTTTAGGCAATCGTCTTTTTATATCAGACTGGAGAATTTCATATTCAGCCAATGCAAATTCAATTTTAAAAATTTGTCAAAAATCTATTTTCTGGTTTATTGGCGTAAAAATTTCCAAGCTTCTTCACTGGTCCATTGTTTATAACTAGTACAAATTGCGAGCCTTTAGCTCTTCATTTAGAAACTGTGAAATTTTCTTGAATCAGATTGGAGGATTTCCAGGTCAGCTAAAATCAAGCCATATTTTCAAAAATCATCTTGAATGTCTGCTAAAACCAAATTTTGCTAGTTTCTTCACTAGACCCTTGTCTATAACCACGTCCAGTTACTAACTTAATAAGTTACTAACTTATCAAGTTACTAACTTAATAAGTTTACGACATTTCAATATTTTTGCAAAAGTGAAGTTCAGCACGAAAGTTGGTGAAAAAATTGCCACAAACTTTCCTGCCGGATTATTGACGCGCCAATCATCAACCTTCTTCAGCAGACCTTTGTCTATGATTGGGGCAAATTGCAAGCTTCTAATTCTCTTAGTTTAGGAAATATTAATTTTTTTCTCCTGCTGGAGCACAAGTGAAATTAAATCAATTGTCAAAATTTGCGAAAAGTCTACCTGCAAATTTATTGACTCTAAATTCGGCGAAAGTCGTTACCAGATCATTGTCGATATCTGGTCCAAATTTGAAGCCTCCAACTCGTTTAGTTGAGGAAATCTGAATTTTTTTCTTTAGAATGGCGGATTGTATGTTCAGCCAAATTTCAAAATTTTCCAAAAATCTTCCTGCAGGTTTGTTAAGATGAAAATTCCAACCTCCTGCATGAGTTTACTGTCTGTAACTAGCGCAAATTTAAATCCTTTGACTCGTTTAGTTCAGAAAATGTGAATTTTTGCTTATGAGACTGAAGTATTTGTGTTCAGCTAATGTCAGATCAACTTTGGAAAATGGCCAAAAATCCTTTTGCAGGTTTATTCACCGGAAAATCACTTGACCTGTTCACTGAGCCACTGTACTGTTGATGGTCCTGGCAAAGTTCAGACCTCCAACTCCGTTGTTTCAGGAAATATCATTATTTTCCAGAAGAGAGGCAATCAAGTTGCGCCAAACTCAAGTCAGGACTAACTTTGCAAATTTTCCAAAAATCCTTCTGCAAAGGCGATTTTTTCTATAAAAGGTGCCACACTTCTTCACTACACACCTTTGTCTACGAGTGCTGGAAATTTCAATCCTATGACTCGCTTATTTTAGGAAATGTGTCTTTTTGCCGGACTGAGCAATTTCAAGTTAGCTGCTCTAAACTCAACTCCAATTTTGAAAAATTGCCAAAATCCCTGCTGCAGCGCTACTGCTCCAGATTCTCCAGAGTCATTCACCAACTCGTTGTCACAATTTGTTGCAAATTTCAAGCCTCCAGCTTCTTTGATGTGAAAAATATGATTTTTTTAGAGTTGTTAGAACATTCAAAGTTTCCGATAGATTTTGGTGACGCAAACGTTTAACAGTGACGACACATGGGTGAGAAGTTCACGATTGCGCTATGGGGGGGTGGCGAATTTCACGGCCAAAATCGACAAGGGAAAGGAGCTCAGCCAGGGCGCGTTTAGTCGGTAAACTGGCTCCAAAGCGGAATTGTGCCGCCCCTTCTGCCTCCACAGCATGCCATTTCATCTGCATGTTTGCATCCTGCGCGTTCCCGATCGCGACAAGTTTCGATTTTTGCAAAATAAGTGAAATTCGCCGGCTTTCTGGACAATTTGCCCACAAACTATTCGGCATGTTCATGTATTCGGCCCAAGCAATTCAGGTAAATCATCCGGAGGGTTTGATTTGCCAAAAAGGAGCCCGATTTTTTTTGGCTTTCCCCTATTTGTAAACATTGCGACTTTAATGAATTGCGTAGTACGTTCAATAAGTGGCCTAGAAGGTTCTTCAGCTGGATTCTGTTCAATTATTCACTGTAAATCGGGTGCTCATCTATTTTGAAATGAACATCAGCAATGCGACTTAAGGGTTGCAGATACAAAACGCCATCGATTTAATAATATCTTCATTATTATTTAAATTATTAAAACAATGCCTGCTATTCAACTTGTTGGCCTAGATTTCCTACTTTTCAAGGTGAAAATGGATTCAGCGCAATTCAAATTTATATTATTTTATTTAGAAGCAATCCGTCCGGACAATTCGCATTCAGTAAGGCATTCAAGAAGGGTTTTACATGAAATCTGCTTGATTTCAAGTGAAAAGTCTGTGCAAATTATAGATGTACTTAAAAACATCCAGAATATTTGTATGCAAGTAGGTTCAAATCTCGAGATGAGCCCATCTCATGCACCCACAGGACCGGTTTCGAGCCTAATAGCTCACACCAGATGGATTTAGCCCCTGAAGGTGCCTGAGGTTAGCGCATATAAAAAACTGCTGCATTGAGTTTCATCTAGACGATTGTTTAAAAAAGATCTATTTCTATTTGAAGTGCCTCAAAATTGATGGCTTGACCCGAATTCATTAATGGACGGATTAAGAGGTTGATTTGATTATCGGATTAATTCTATGGAGGAACATTGGATGAATAATTCGAACAGTTACGACTTCTCCCCGCTTATCCTTAGAAGCCTTTTAATATCATGAATGTTGGATCTAAATCAATCCAACAGCTTCAGTTAATGCCCATTTCCTATTGCATGCAACTAAAAAAAACCCGTACAATTGCAGGTCTTCCACATTGGTACCTCCAACCTAACCACGTAGACGATGAAGACGTTCTATTAGACTGGTGCTAGGTCAAGATGTTAAATAGAAAAGACACAACTACAATGATTATCTTCAGCCAATCGAGTGACGATACCGAAATTGTTCTCTCTTTGGAATCCCTCACTCAAGCCGGCATCATCTTCATCATGGCCCTGGCCATCATCATCACCAATGTACTGATTATTGCCACTCTGGTGAATTTTAGAGGTAAGTGGATTGAAAAAGGAAATCAGACGATTCACGCATGGGTGCAAGTGAGATAGTTGAAAACATAGTGCCTGCCTGACAGTTAGTTGAATGAGTGCGACAGAGCACACACACCGACTGAACCCGATTGGCTGTTTGCAATACTGACCCATCTACTGAGTTAAAGTGGGGGACGAATTGGCGCAATTTCACACGCCTTTGTTCCCTTTCCAACACGCTTGTGATGGACAATTGTGCCTTGTTGCACTCACAAAAGGCATTTTGAGGCTCACTCCAGTGGCTTTTGGACGGGCGCCAATGTTTATCGATAAAACAGGGGTAGATGACAGTGCAAATCTGCCGCAAGCAGAAAATGTACATTCGTCAAAACTTCAAGGATTAATGTCGCTAAAACGGGGGTATAAATGCTCACTTTATGTTTCGTAAAATGTTTCAGGTTTTCGGGCAAAATGGGAAAATTTTAAATTACTCTATTTTACCACGGATCGCGATACATCAATTTAGAAAATTTTTTAGTTTTTTCGCACACGATTTGAATGCAGGCATGAGACGCTTTTAAAACTGTAACTCCGCAAATGTTGTCTAGAGTTAGCAGTTGTTTTGAAAAAAGAATTCACAAATGCCTAGAAATGGACGGTCAACATTTCGAACATTTGTTATAAATAATTTGGCTTTGTTTTATGTTATTGTTGATATGTTATTTAACTTTTTAATAAAAAAAAAACACCAAATGGTGCACAGAACCATTATTTGGTGTATTTTGTAAAAAGGCAAAAACTTATTTATAAACATCCTAGTACCATTCGATAGGTAATTAAAGATTGCATTTCCTGGTAAGATAAAAAATATCGGGTTGTATTTAAATTAATCAAGTTATAGCCACTTAAATTTCTTATTTGATTAGCTTAAATTTGTGGACACCCTGTATAAAATGATAAGTTTATTATCAATGGGATAAAAAATATAATTTCTTGTTACACTACACTACGAATCACGTTTACATAACTTAATTAATTCTAAAGTATTTGACACATGAAAATAATATTAGATTTTGATAAAATTCGAATTATTTAAAAAACCTTAAGATTTAGATTATAAATCTTATTAAAACAAACA